TTATAAATTAATAAAGTATTAATTAAAATTGTGTAATTTAAACAAAAATATGTGTCACAAATCACAATAACCATTGTAATGTTACATAGTGCACAAGAGCTTCCAACAAATTTTAATGAGATTTTTTTTATTCATAATTAGAGTGTTTTTAAATTAATTTTTATATATTTTAAAATTAATCTCTCCTAATTTGATTTTAAACGTGCACCTCCCGATCCATAATTTTTTAGTTCTAACCTAAAATTTAAACTTTTGATATATTGCACTAATTTACTAATAGATTTAACATTTGATTATTTTAACGAGAACTTGAGCATTTACAGTAGTAAGTAATGATAAACTTACTTTATTGTCATATATCATCATAATTAATATTATTTTTTATAACTTATATTTTTATAAATTTAACTCTTAGAGAAAATACTTAACAAAACACCTTCCTTGTAATGCATAAACTTTACTTTAAAAATTACACTAATATTATTTTAATCAACTTATATTGTATGCATTCAAATAAACAATATTTATTTTTTATTTTTTTAGGGAAAAAAGAGAGAAGCCTTTTTTTTTTTCAAACGATGTACATTATGGGGGTGCAGATTCAAACCCCAGCCTAAAGGTGAAGAATACACTCTTTAAAAAAGCTTAAAGTTATCGGCCCACTAGGCCAAGTGCAAGAGGGGAGCCTTTGATAAAAGCCATTGGATAAAAATATATATATATTGCAACGCCTGGTGCATGTCAGGTGCAGCAGTGTTTGTACTGTTAAAAGATAAAATTGAGCTTGTTTTTTTTTTTAAAGAAAATTGAGCTTGTTTTTTACAGGAGACAAGCTCGATTTGAGAACAGATTTCAAAGGGCAGAATTCTGTATATGATCTCTTTTAAAAAACGAAAAATAAAAATGAATACCATTATGTAACCTCCTAGGCCTTTGCTTAATATATTTCATGTGTGAGTCCATACTCTTTAAAGTATTTATAAAGTTCTTCTAAAAAAAAGTAAGTGATAATTTTTAAAATTTTAATTAGACTTAGGATTAATATATGTACTAATGTAAGTGCTATATTAAATTTTAACAACTCACTTTTAAATTTCAATAATTAATGTAACACTTAACAAATTTCAGAATATTCTCTTATATTTTCCAAATCTGTAGCTGACAATTAGTATAAATTTTTTTTAAATTTATCCTAGTATAAATTGATGCTTACCCATTTAATTATAAACATTTTAAATGCTAAAATGTAGTATTTTTTCTTAAAATATTTTTAAATTTGTAAGAAAAAAAATATTTATATATAAGTTAAAAACTTAGATCTATCAAACATATTTTTATATCAGTAATATTATAATTATAATGTTACGTATAATAGTATGTTTATAATTTTACGTGATATAAATAAATTATAAAAAATATTAAATGAATAAATACATATAATATCACAAGTAAAATTAATTATATAATAAAATATTATGTTATAAGTTTGAATAATAATTGATACACCTTTTAATTTAACACACTCTACAATATATTCTTCAATAAGTTATTGTTTTTAAATTTAAATTCAAGATAAAAAAATTTTAATCACAAAATTTAATGACTAAACATGTAAGTAGTAATAAATGTATTAAACTGAAATATATATCAAATATTTTTTTATAAAATTATAATATTATATAATATTACAATTATAATATTTTTATTTTTATATGATTAATAAATTAGTTAAATATATTCCGTTAATATAAAAAATTCACATTCAAAATCTTGATAAACTGATAAAGTGCACATTAAATCCAACACACTTCACACGCGATGGTCCTTGACAATTTTAAGGCCAACACTGTTTCTCGTCATATTTTAAGTAGTAAATAAATTAATCAATCTTAATCAATTACTTGTTATTTTAAATGAAAAAATTTGATTCACTTTAAATAAAATTTTGAATTTGATTATAATAAATCAAAAAATAAACATTAAAATTTATTTTTATAAAATTCAATATAATATTTAATACCAACATCGAATATAAAAAAGATTAATACTAAAAAAAATAAAGTAATAAATCTTCGACATCGATTCCCACAACAAAAATATCTTAAAAATCTTGCTTGACCCCATCTTCTCTAG